CGACATCTCATTGGCAATAATCTGGCAGGGGCTGAAATAATATAGTTGTGATCCATTTCACTTTGATGCAGTGCACCTTAGTGCTGATTGTCTCATCATACATTGAGGATGTCGCCGTAGACACTTGTAAAACGCCTGGGACGCCAGATTCTGTTTTGCTGTATATGAAGACTTGCTAGTAAAGCTTAAGTTTGTGGAACCAATCGAAGTTAACAAAATAACCCATTTTCTGAATAAACGGAACAATTTAAGGAAATTAAGAGGAGCCGCCTTTGGTTGTTAGATGGGTTTGAAGGGAGTAGGATGAGCCACCGAGTAAGAGAAGGCTCGATTAGTTATGGGCCTGGGTATAGACCTACAAGTGTCAACTGAATCAAGATTTGTCCTCCATTTTCTCTCAGACAACAGAACATGTATTAAAATTGTAGCATTACGTTATAGGCATTTTTGGGTAAGGAAGCAGCTATTCTGCCACGTCAGCATCAACTTTATGCATAAAACTATCTAATCTGCATGCCTGTCTGCACGAGCATGAAATAACTAAGGGCTTCTTCATCCAAGTCTGCAGTCACAACTGCAGGATAATCTTCCTTTGGCCTTCTCTTGGGCTAATCTGAAAATCATGTCCCGCCAACTTTTTATAAGGTGAAAGCTTCTTTAAGGCATTCTTCGAAATCTATCTTCTCATCACACTTGCAAAGAATTTACCTTGTACCAGATCTTTTAATTAGGGCGTACTGTAGGTTATGCTCTCGCAAGTCTTCTCGTAAATATAGCCTGGCTATGATAATGTAAGGATAGTTTTGAACTATTGGGCTTTTGTGTAATGGGAAGATTGCATCGTCGGAGCCAATGCAAACTTGTTTTATCGTATATATTGATAGATGTGCGTCTATTTCGGAGCCATTTATTTTTTATTGACTAGTTAAATCAGTTTTTACTCTCCTTCAGTCCTTTATCTTTCAAAGCATTCCGTTTGAGCTCAACTTACTCTTAACTCTTCTACTATATCTGTCTGGTATATTCAAATTACGTAAACCCTTCTTAATCTCGCTGAAGTGTCTCGCATCTAGTATGAACCTGTAATCATAAAACCGATGGAGTTTATACTAATCTTCCTCATTTCTTGTTTCTACCATGCTTTATCCAATTGATGCAGGCTTTTTTGTGCTAAGCCAACATAAAGACGACTAATTGCGCAAAATATTTTGTAGTATCTTGAACTGTATAATTGGTCTTAGTTCTCGTAAAACATGGCATGATTGTAGCAAATATTAATTTAGCTTGAAAACGGTATTTATATTCGACTATTTTTCAAGTTCATATTCAATAAATGCTAGAAATGTATTATTCGGGATGAATTTGCACACTTCCCGTCCCATCTAATATAGTTTGCATAGGTTTTCAGATTTTCCCTTTAGCAAACTTTCTCCTTAATATAACCTTTTCTCCAATTCTCTATCTATCCATCTTACAGTATCTCATTCCACAATGCTTTACCTAGTGGGTTTCTTCACTCCCTTCTACCCTTAAGTGGCAGACTTGTTTTATAAGAGCTGTATTCACTCATTTAGTTTAAGGTGATGGAGGACTAGTAGTTTCATTTTCCCACAATCATATGAGTTTGTCGAGTGATTGACTTCACTTGTCTCTTTTGACGAGTTCGTAGCTTGGTGCGGAGAATGGCAAAACTCATTGATGATGCTGGCGAAACGTTGAGAATGTACCAAGACCATTGTCTGATGCTGGGATTAATGACAACTACTATGGCAGACGATTTCGGACTAGATGCGTTCTACTAAGTCCCCCTGGCAACAACACCAAGTTGCGACAACGAGGTCAACCCACTTCCATATGAGTAGGCCTCATGCTTTCATTGAAACTAACACCTTTTGTGAAGCAATGCTATGTAAAATTCAATAAAAACTCGAGGCCTATTCATATGAATCTGGGAAAATTCAACTACAACTCCTTCATCAACTTAAACGAGAAAGAGTGAATTTAGCTCTTAGATAATATCTAATATTAGTCTCGAAAACCTACTTATGATCTACTGATAGTTTTAAACCTTATTTATTTTTTAAATCTATTGTCATTGGTTGTAGTGTAAATATATATTTTTGCATTAGCAAATGTTAATTTAAAGAGACATGGCTTGCCTTCAAATTGACATCTGTTTCGTGACCTTTCATCTCCTATATCAACCTAAAGTTACTAGTTCTTCTTAAATGCTGCTTTTTTGTTGCATGCTCCAGTGCTTGGATGAGAAATTCTACAAATAACCATTTTTACTCTTTTTTTGCCTCATGATTATCTCTTCGAATTACAACTTTGTTCTGTTTTTCTTATTGTATTCTTGTACAAAAAGCTCCACACCAGGACGGTTTACCGGGTTCTAATTTCTCTTGAAGCACTTAACACACAGCCTGACTCGGCAAACATCATTAATTCTTTGATGCCCATTCCTCTGCTGAGAGGTGACCCGACGAGTTTTGGCAGTTCATATGATTTCACACTTTCCCCACAAGAGGCCAATCAGCCTGATCTCGACTCCAGAACCCTACCAAACGTCAACAGACATTCGGCTGGCTCACTGCTTGTGCTTGATATTTTCTTAGCTGCCAATAAGCAGCCTGTCCAACCGTCGTCGGGACCGGATCCAGCCGGTTCAAAGGGATCGGAAGACCAGCTGGTGGCCTCGACTCCAAATCTCAGCCATTCCAACTCATCCTCTGCCCTTTCTTATGTATCTTCGACTCAACCTCCTTCCTTCACTTCCTCAAGGGCAGCAGATTCGGCCACCTGTGTTTCTATTCAACTTCCACTTGATATGGCGATGCCGCTTCCTCTACCTTTACCCTCTACAGCCAACAGCTCTGATCCGTTAATCTCTCGCAGATGCGCTTGCCCAAACTTGTTCGAATTGGCTGATGATGGTGTTTTCTGTCTACGTGAGTTCTGTGTTAGTTCGCGACTGCTTGGTTTCATCAGGAAGGGGCACTGGTGCTCACTGGTGCACCAGGTAACTTTATCTTCTCGAAAATGATCTCACCGTGGAAGCAAAACAATTATCGTGTTGGTTCGACTTTGCTTTCCAATTTGCTCTGAGCTTCAGGGATACCTTGTGAAACATACCTAATCCCGTGTCATCTGCCATAGTGTTCGTGTCTTCCGGCATTGGACCATTCGCTGAGTACATTCCCATACGTTTCACCGGCATCGTGAGTGAGAGGCGCCATCGTAAGCACAGAGTTACAACTTGTTAAAATGACAAGTGACAAGCTAAAGGAGACTGCGACCAAACAGAAGGCCACACCATCTTGGTCTTCATATCTACCAAAAGCAATTATCTTCTTTTCGTTGTATATACCATAGAATTCTGCCAAGCAAGATTCAAAGACTGACGGTCACAACGACTGGCTATAAGAATTTAATGCCAAGAGCTTTATCCAATGCACTCTTTTGGCAAAGCTCTAACTGCTGTTGGATGGGAGTTTTTATATAACTTTTCTCCAAACCCTGAGGCATTTGCCCATCATTTTTATTCTTTGGCTGGAAGATTTAAATGAATCTGTGGCCGCATTTTTATAGTTATTTCTTCAATCAAAATATTTTGGCCCTATTCTGATATTTTAGTCTGCACAACAGTGTAATTTTGTCTGTAGCATTTTAATATTGGTTTAAGCGTCTTTCACATTTTAATTATTATTCGTAACAGACCCTCAACTTTGATATATTTTCTCGCAAATAATCATATTCCTAAACTGCGTCGATGATGTCCCACAAATTATGACTCAAGCTAGATGGAGATCGCTCATTGGCTATGAAAATAGGACGCTCTTAATTACATGCAAGTGAAACAGATTTATTTATAAAGAGTTATTGTATAGTTAAATGAGCATTTATCAGTGTATATAAAATAGAAGGATTTTGAAATCATTACTAGTTTGTGAATAAGCACCCGAATAAGATGATGTAGATATGCTAGTTTAATTTTTCGCAATGAAGTGAATAGAAGACCTCATGATACCATTGGATTTCACCACTCTTTCCTTATCCGGTCTGGACTGACTTTTTGGCCTCATCTCCTTGCTTCATCAGTGCCTATTAAATGGCAACCACTCCACAATTGCCAGCCGGTGGCTACAAGGCAGATTTGACTTTCAGAGCAAATCGAGCCTCTCCAAATTCATATATCTACTGTGACAACTGCTGCCAAAGACAAATAGCATCTGCCACTATATTACCATCTAATGCTCATGAACTTATTTCGAATCCCAGGGGAGTTCAGAACTGTCATGAGAAAGTCTTTCGGAAGACAAAGCTAAGTGAAATTCAATGACATCGTAGGACCTATTCGTTTCATTTTTGAAAATTCAACTGTCAGACTTTACACCACCTCAAGGCTACTTGTGTTCTCATTCCTAACTAAAAACTGACATTATAAATATTTCTTAGAGACTACCAGTTTATCTGAAATAAGAGCTGTATTCGTCATACTTCGTTTAAGATGATGAAGGACTGGTAGTTTAATTATTCTACAATGATATGTGTAGGCCGTATGTTTTCATTGAATTTCACATAGTCTCGCTTCCCAAAAATACTCTCATACAGACTGGACTGCAGTTTGGGCCTAATCCAGATCTTATCAGCACCCCCAATGATACTCAAACCCAGCTAGTACAATGCTTGATCTTTTGTGAAGCAAGGCTATGGGAGATCCTATGGAAACATAAGGCCTGCACATGTAATTGTGGCAAAATTCAGCTACTAGTTCTTCGTCACCTTAAATGAAATAGGCTGGGCACAGCTCTTATAATTTGAAGGCTAAACATCACCTTTGTATATTATATAATATAATACAAGATGATTGGGCTTCTTTTTTTGGGGGGATATTTATTAATGTCTTTTAAGAGTAGATTCAAAAGCCAACAACTGGGGCTTTGCTGTAGTTTGATACGCATCTGTACGTCATCAACATTTTCCTCAAGATGCCAAAC